GAACGCAACCAGCGCACAAACACAAGCTCCGTCACACATATCCTCATACAAATCTTCCATCTCTGGCACAACGATTGCACCATCTCAAAATCATCGACCATTATAATGGCTTATTAAAAGATACTCCCACTGAACGATTCTGTCCACAATTCAGAAAGTATTTTATTTACGCGTAAAAAATGAGAGCATTAAAATGGAACGCAAACGATACACTGATTCGAGTCTTTTCTCATCGCTTGACACTTCTCCATATCATCTCGAACCAACAAACAAATCTTATTAATCCAAAATAAAAGCGCATCAACACTATCCATTGGTTCTTCTCTCTTATCAACTGTTGTATAGTTCCTGAAATAAACAAATTACTCATTCAGTTTTNAGCATGATTAAAAATTTCCAGGCAAACGCTCCCCGTACTTCATTCCGGTGATATGTCATTTTAACTGTTTTCGTCCCTTCTTTCATGAACTGATGATTTGAGCGACACTCGATTGAAATTACTCCGAGATGAATCGAATTGACGTTAAAATAATACACTTCAACAACTCACTGCACAGCGAAAACAACCCGTTCGATAGTGATAATTGATCGCATATGCGCACACATAAGTGCATCCATTACGGCCAAATGAACTGCCTTAAATTGATCTGATTTCAATTTATAAATCACTTGTGAACGTCACTGAGCAGTATTGGCTATGAAACTGATTTCTCATATTCACAAAAGCAATTCTCCTTCAACAAAAATTATTTTGCATAAAAATTTACAGAAGTTAACAGATCATCAAAAAAACGATATGAAAGAGAATAATACCTGATGAAACGGCTGAACAGAAGCGAGCATCGCTTCGGTGATATTGGCTTCTTCACCTGAGATCATCAACGGCACAGAATGACTTGCCAATGCACGTAAAACAACACCGTGTGGTTGCTGAATCATCAACACAACTAATGAGACATTCTGATTTAAATATCTTTCTTATGATTTGAAATGTCTCTCTTGCATGTTGTTGCCCTAATTCAAAGCTTCGGTTTTCCCTCAACACAATGAACTTAATCTAGGGGCTTTCTGCAAAGTTTCTTGAAATTCACTTGCCAGAAGAGTACTAGTCAAGTCTGTTAGGCTCGTGCTGAAATTGAGCTACCTTAAAAATAGACTGAGCTCTTGTGATCGCCCAGGTGCAAGAAAGCAGCATTTGTTTAAAGCACTGCATCAAAAAACTAACGTNAATTGGTCAACGCCGTTATAACTGCTGTTTCGAGTTGGAAAGTGTTCTGGAAAGCATTCGACAAACCGATAATTCGTAACTAGTTCAATTCGTTCTCATCAATGAAAACAGTGGCTGTTCAAGAGTAGTTTCAGTACAATCAAACAAAATCATACTAAAATATTGTCAATAGACAACACCGAAATTGAATTCAGTGCATTTTTCTCCACGATCCGAAACAATGAACATAAGAAAAACCGAATAATAACATATTTCTCGACTGCCTTAAAACATCAAAGTAACATAAATTTGCCAACTTGAACAATCCATTACTACAGAAACCATTTATAAATCGTACAATAAATAAGCCAAGGAACGAGGAACGTGACTTGTGATTTGTCATAGAAAGAGGTCGAACATTGAAGAAAATTTTGTTTCAAAAATGCATATCCACATCAAGAAATGTTCATTGTGTACCCCCAGTGGCGTGCAATCAGACTGAACAAAACTTACATTATCATTATATCGAATAGGATTTTGCAACAAATCCGGTGCGGTACCACCATAAACTCGACCGATCAACCATTTTACCGATGCTGCCAGTTTACCCTGAAAGTAGCCCTCTCATTAAGTTTGCCTTTGCCTCGAATCTTTGACTGTGATTGTGATATTATTCACTTTTACTTTAAAATATTCCATTGAAAAAAGCAAATTACTGCCTTTAAGTTACTGTCTTACATCCTGTTTATCATCCCTCATGTAACTAACGTCTTCGTCTAATTCCCACTTACATAGCCGATACAAGGTTATAATGCAACTTTCGTTTCATACATTCGATGATTTTTTATGCATACCATGAACTCGTACCAGCAGAAAACGGAAAATTAATTCCACACTAATAGGATTTAATTTGTCTGTTGTCGGCTTTAAATTTCGTCGTATAATTTCACCGTTACCATTACAAAAATTTATTTGCCTTCATTCATTCAACGACTTCAATGAGTCATATCAATCACTTTGATGATGATTG